ACGCAGGCCGAGCGAGCCCCGGGAGGCAAGAGGGCGGGCGCTCGCCGGAGAGCTCTGGGCCGGTTGTCTCCAGCGCGCACTATCACGGGCGCGTAGTAGATGTCGCTGTTGTCCGTGCTTACGCCGCCGGCCGGCCGGCTCTGGAGCACGTGACCTGCGAGGAGGCTGCGGCTCAAGGCCATTTTCAAATCTCATTGGCTTGGTTGTCATGTGGTCGGCAGAGGCATCCACAATTACACGGGGAATGTTTTCCTAGAGATGTCAGCCTACAAAGGACACAATCTCTCTTCTTCAAATTCCTCCCCAAAATGTCCTTTCCCAACAGCTCTCCTGCTGCTAATACTTTTTTAGTAGATTCTTTGATCAGTGCCTGCAGGAGTGACAGTTTTTATTCGAGCAGCGCCAGCATGTACATGCCACCACCTAGCGCAGACATGGGGACCTATGGAATGCAAACCTGTGGACTGCTCCCGTCTCTGGCTAAAAGAGAAGTGAACCACCAAAATATGGGTATGAATGTGCATCCTTATATACCTCAAGTAGACAGTTGGACAGACCCGAACAGATCTTGTCGAATAGAGCAACCTGTTACACAGCAAGTCCCCACTTGCTCCTTCACCACCAACATTAAAGAAGAATCCAATTGCTGCATGTATTCTGATAAGCGCAACAAACTCATTTCTGCTGAGGTCCCTTCGTACCAGAGGCTGGTCCCCGAGTCTTGTCCCGTTGAGAACCCCGAGGTTCCCGTCCCTGGATATTTTAGACTGAGTCAGACCTACGCCACCGGGAAAACCCAAGAGTACAATAACAGCCCCGAAGGCAGCTCCACTGTCATGCTCCAGCTCAACCCTCGTGGCGCGGCCAAGCCGCAGCTCTCGGCTGCCCAGCTGCAGATGGAAAAGAAGATGAACGAGACCGCGAGCGGCCAGGAGCCCACCAAAGTCTCCCAGGTGGAGAGCCCTGAGGCCAAAGGCGGCCTTTCCGAAGAGAGGAGCTGCTTGGCTGAGGTCTCCGTATCCAGTCCTGAAGTGCAGGAGAAGGAAAGCAAAGGTATGAGCAGAGTTGCCACCCCAGCGGGGCGCGCAGTCCGGGAACCGGCGGAGAGGGAGCGCTTGGGTGCCCAGCGCAGAGCCAAGGCAGCCGAGATGGGTGCCTGACTTGGCAGGTGCTGCTCTGCCCAGCTTTTTGAGGGGAAATCTCAGTCTTGAGATGGTCCCCGCTTCTCTCCTGCTGCCATGGCCATCCGGGCCCCACGCTGATGGCGCCTGGGGAAGAGGAAAGGCTTGCTGGGTTTATTTTTCCTGAACTAGACTTGAAACACAACAAAAGAGGCAAAGAGACCTGCGGCTCATAAACAGGGCCCCTGAGCCTCTTTTCTCCTGGTCAGATTTGCAGTCCTAGTTTTGCCTGGCACCCAGTGATCTTTTAAAGGCAGTCCAAGGTACCGTGTTTGTGTCACCCCGCATCCTGCGAGCTTGGGGAACGAGATGGTTGGGCCAGTTCGCGCTTGGGTGGGGGAAAAGGTCTTCCTGCCTTTGCAGGGCTAGGTAACCTTGGCTTTGTCTGGGGAAAGTGCAGCAGGCTTTGCAATCATCTACAAAGAGGGCAAGGGCAGAGGGGGGAGAATGCTACTGCAAAGTCCACTTTGTAAGGCCAGCCTAAGGGCTGGACTGAGGCAGAGAGCCAGGGATCTGGGTCTTTGAGAAGGAACCCTGTCCCCTGAGCCTCTCCCCTATGCCCAGAGGTGGGCCACCTTAGGGGTTACAGTGCTGGGAAATGCTTTTGTATGGACACAGAAGACATGAGAATTCAGAAAATTCTGACAGAATGCAACAATGCCCAGGCAGGTTGGAGAAGGTATCCTTGCTTCCTCGTGTATTTTTTGGAAAGAATAGATTGATGTACCTACAAACCTGGCTGTTGGGCTCCCTGCTTGCCTAGAAGTCGTGGGGAAGCAGCAGCAGACTTGGTGACATAAGGCTGCAGTGGAGTTGGTAGGCTTGTGCAGGCTGTGGCTTCTTCCTCTCCACCTTGTCATAAGCTAACCACTTAGAAGGTTACTGGGGAGATCCTAGAAAGTTTACCATTATGCTTACGTTTTTGTGCAAGTCAGAAAGTTCTGTGCATATGTGTATATGGGTGTGTGTGTGTGTGTGTGAGAGAGAGAGAGAGAGAGAGAGAGAGAGAGAGAGGGAGAGAGAGCGTGAGTGGGAGCGCACGTGAGCACCCTGATGAATGCATCCTTCCATTCTGTCCCTTTGGGCATTTCTAATTTGGCATAAATTGAAAAGCCCTTCCAGGCCCCACCACTGTAATGTTTAAGACCAGCATTGCCCAAAGCGGCCTGCTTGCCACTAGGGTCATGGCCAAGGGTATATTTCAACAAACTGAGAGAAAAAAATCTTGATTTTTTTCTTCTTCCTTTAATTTTGTTAGAGGAAATCAAGTCTGATACTCCAACCAGCAATTGGCTCACTGCAAAGAGTGGCAGAAAGAAGAGGTGCCCTTACACTAAACACCAAACGCTGGAATTAGAGAAAGAGTTCTTGTTCAATATGTACCTCACCCGCGAGCGCCGCCTAGAGATCAGTAAGAGCGTTAACCTCACCGACAGGCAGGTCAAGATTTGGTTTCAAAACCGCCGAATGAAACTCAAGAAGATGAGCCGAGAGAACCGGATCCGAGAACTGACCGCCAACCTCACCTTTTCTTAGGTCCGAGGCCTGTGGGAGGCCAGGATCAGAGAGGGGGCACCTTGTTCCAGGGCCCAGTGCTGGAGGACTGGGAAGGCGGAAGCAAAACCTTCATTGCTCTTTGTTTTTTGTTTTGTTTTGTTTTCCTGTTAGAATGTGACTTTGGGGTTATTCTGTTCGTGCTGCAAGTGATCTGTAATCCCTATGAGTATATATATATATATATATTTATATATATATATATATACACACACACACACACACACACACACACACACACACACACAATGCAGGGTAACTATTACTGCGCACATTCATTTGGGTCTTAACTTATTGGAAATGTAGAGTATCCATCTAACCATCCATCCATACTTCCAGCAATGTGACTTTTTTCATGTTTTTCCTAATGCAAAAGTTCTGTGTGTGTGATTTGTCCCTGAACTCATGGCATTTTTTAATATATTCAGTACTTTTAAATTACACACACACATATATTTAAAAAATGAAAACCCACAAGCTTTGGGGGGAGGGGGACTAAAAAAGCACATTACAATGTATCTTTTCACAAATGAACTTAGCAGTTGTCCTTGGTGAGATGGAATATGACGACTTATGCCTTGTAGCCTTTCCCTTGTGGTGCATCTGTGGTTTGGTAGAAGTACAACAGCAACCTGTCCTTTCTGTGCATGTTCTGGTCGCATGTATAATGCAATAAACTCTGGAAATGAGTTTTCTCCCTCTACTTTCTAAAACGAAAATATGTTTTGGTGGAAATGAAAGGCTTTGAGGAGGTTCTCTTCGTGGACGCTGCCAGGTTGGAGCATTCGGGTGAGAGAGTGACAGAGGGCAAGAAAAGGAGAGGACAGAAAAGCAGGAGGAGGCCTAGGATGATGCTGGAATTGGGCAGGGGTTGATGGGAGAGGGGTGATAATCCAGCCTGGGTGTGCAGTTTTCAGAACTGTTTAGAAGGGAGTCCTCTCTCCTCTTCCAGCCCCCCAATCACAGTGACTTGTTCCCTGCTCCATGGGTATGAGCTTCTCTCTAGTTGGAGCCTGGTACGGAAGCCTATACCCAAAGCCAATTTCTCCTCTCAGCACCCCACATGTGTGTTTTCTTCTCTTTTGCTTCAGTTATGTTATTTTTAATGCTTTCAGTGAGATCTTGGTGACTTCTGTTTGGGGAGCCATCGTCAGGGGCTAGGTTGAAACTAGTCTTGCCCACCTGGAAGCTGCCCAGCCTCCATTGCAGCAGCAAGGACAAGCAGCACTGTAGCATTTGCACTGGATCCAATCCCCGCTTTCTCATCCCCACCCCTATCCCAAGTGCAAGACAGCCAGACCCCAGTGAGACCAAGGATGGGTGAGTTTTTCCCATCCCACTTTGCCTTGGTTTCCTTGTGGAGGGATTTTCTCTTGTCATTACCTTTTAGTGACCCACACAAATTTTTTCAAAAGAAAAGATTTATACCCAGCTAAACCTCCTACTATTTAATTACAAAATGCAGATGGCCACTGCATCTGAGCGGCAAGAAAATGCAGAAAAGGTTACTGAAAGAGAATTCGCAAGCGAACGTGACTTCCTATGAAATCCAATATACCATTTACAGACAAGGCTTGGGAAATTCCCACCAACTTCTACAGAATCCCCACCAGAGTTCAGATTTACCTACTACTGCCAGGGAAAGGGAGGAGAAATTTTGGGGATGGGGGAGTACTGACATTGGATTCGTTGCCCCAGATCCTGCCTGCAGTTTCAAAGGGTCTCCAGTAGCTTCAAGGCATTTCATAAAATAGGTCCTTTTCAGTCCTCCTACCCGTCCCTAAGAACCACCCGTTAAGGTTCTCTGAGCCTCAGAGCCTCATGCAAGGAGTCTTTGGGACAGTCAGTGGTCCCAAAGGGGTGCCAGTTTTGAGAAAGGGATCTGAATCAATCCTGGGCTGTGAACACTGAAATAGTTTTGCCCCAGACTTACACTGGTTGGGCAAAAGAAGGAGGGTAATTTTCGATGTTTTCTCCCAGCGATGTGGGGAGCGCCATTAGTTGATGAGAGGGGGCCTTGTCAAGGAGGGAAACCTGTGCTACAGGAAAGGACAGTGCCTCTGAAACAAAATCAGAAAGCCTTTGGCAAAGGCAATCAATCAGGCCATAAGCAGCCGTTTACCCGCTTTCTCTCCAGGGCTGGAGGTGGGCTGGGAGCCGTCCAAGGGTTCTGGGCAACTTGTAGAGCAAGGAATATGCTCTCACCGCCCGGCGCCCTGGCCGCTTTTGTCTCGGCTCCCAGCCGGGCTTCAGAGGCTTTGTACCATGGATTTGGGAGTGACAATGGGCATTTCCTTCAGATTCAAGGCTGCCCAGCCTTACCGCTGGAGACAAGAAAAAAAATTGGAAAGGGGGTGGCCCTAGGACCTGGCCATTCGGATTTTTCACACAGCTCGGGAATCCACTTGGAGGCCTCCGAGGCTCCAGGCCAACATCGGTCCTGAGGGTGGAGGTGCGGCTCCCTCGGGCCTCACTGAGGCAGGGCCAGGTCGGCGGGCTAGCATTGGGGTCCTTGCCTCTGTGACATGTTCTCTTCCAGAGCTTCCCCAGCAGCTCGGAGAAGAGGAGGCACCCGCCACTGTCTGCGCCCGCCCGCAAGCACTCCACCGCCCGCCGGCCCTTC